CTGACATGTGGAGCCTCGGCTGCACGCTGGCTGAGCTCGACTGGGGCCTATTTCTCTTCAAAGGGAAAGACAAAGGCGACATTTTCAACTGTATAACGAGGGTAAATATAAGCTCATAGCAATTCACTCTTAACATTTGGACTGCCATCATTGTTGGGAACTTGAACGTGACTGTTCCTTAGGTGCTGGGCCTACCACCATTAGACTTGCTGGCTGCAGCGAGCAGGAAAAACTACTGTATAGGTGAGGTGTTCGAGGCTTATTTTAACACAATCTTTGGTGCAAGAATCTTGTCGTGATCATATGCCCACCCAATTTCCAGACGGCTCGGAGTCTGAAGACAAAAAGCCACCAAAAACCCCTCTGGCCACCAGACTGAAGTCGAAAAATCCAAAGTTTCTGGACTTTATTCGGTGCTGTCTCGAGTAGGTTCACCCACTTTTCGTGAAATACCACTACAACAACCTTCAAGTAGTCAAACTGGGGCACAGATTTGTTTGAGGGTCTATTAAGTGCTTGTGCATCGCTGAGCAGATACGATGCAACAAAGCGGCTCACCCCGGAGAAGGCTTTGCGACATCCCTGGATCAAGCAGGCAACCAAACATACTTGTGAGTCCACCGCAACACATCTCTGCTTGTACACGTTATGTATTTGCACTGAGTGTTGAAAACGCCTATTTTTGATGTCGGTGAATGCAGGACTTGGACCCAGTCTGATGTAACGCAACCACTCATTGATAAACTGCAATGACTGTAACTTTTGTATCAGCAATATTTAAGATACTTTGTTTTATGAACGCAGTCCCTGGGTGTAATACCTATGCTGCTTGAATACCCACTTGCCTAATTTGGAACTCATTTGCAAGTTATAAGGTCTGAACTTAAAGCGTTCCTACTCTTGAGTGGTGGGGTCAGGGTACATGGACATGCTCTGGGAGTCCGACCTCTGACCCTCAAGGGTGTTCCATTGCATTTGTCCTATTGGAAAATTATAAAATTCCCAGTTTTCTGGAACACGGCACAAGTGGCAACGCTGTTGATTTCATCAACTCAACCTGGCCCTGGTGACAATGACAATATGTTTGCTATTGTTGCATCTACAGTTGTCATCAGTCTTGAAGATGTCTTTTTTTGTGTTTGAATTTGTTCAGATAACAGACCAACGATAAGCAGCTTACTGAAGAGAGAGAAGATTCCCCCGCCAATGTTGCAGCCAACGACGCAATTCAAATAAGTTCTTCAGATCAACAATACCGGACTGGAAGTCCACTTGATGACAGCCTTTTTCTTTTCTTAGTTCCTGCCACGCCTAAATTGACCAATCGACCGAACATTTCCTCAGACTTTATGACACGTTTGTACCTTGTTGCAGTCACCATTTGTCTCTGGGAAGTAGGTTAGGAAACTGCTTTTATAAAATGTTTTACATAGTTCCTTAGTGGCTTAATAACATGTCTTGACATTGTTTCTCAAGTTACCCCAAGGATCAAAAATTACATTACACTTTACACCGTCTTTTTTGAGCCTTGATGAACTTGGCTTGTTTTGAGTGAGCAGTTCTGTCTCAGGCCAGCCCCCGCTAAACTGAAGGATCATCTGTAAGCATGGATTTTGTTACCATGATGCTGATGATGAAAGTGGATGCTCAAAAACAAAAACAATTCATCGATTGATTTAATCCGGGGAAGCGGCACTTCAATATAGCACATTTACATCACAAGCAAGAATGAAAGGATTGCGTAATTAATTTCTTAACTACAGTTAAATGTACACAAAATCTCCACTTTGAGCATTGCCAACCAACTGGCTGCCCCTGTGCTAAGTATGCTATTCACATCCTTATGTTTGAAGAATTGTCTGCTCTTGAGCAGAAACTTAAGCAAGATGGACACCAAGCTTTTTCAACTATAATTAATCCTGTGTTGCCAGCAGCTTCCTCCACAGCGCCAAGGGTCATTAACTGGTGATAACAATTCCAGCTTTTGTGTGCAATCACGGTGTGCAGTGTTTGCTGCTGATGCTGCAAATGAGCAAAGGGGGGAGGGAGTCGCTGAATGTGCCACAAAGTGAATTTAAAACACAAATGTAATTAGGACGACAGGTCGAGCTCCCAACGGCGGTCGGCAGGCTGCGAGATGCGGTGAGCCTGACCTGTGAGTTTACAAATTGAGAGGATGAGGTCAATGAGCTGTCTGCCTGCCAATGAAATGACCGATGCCTGCAAAGGTTAAAAAGATTTTGGATTGACTACATCCAGAAAAGCAAGTTTGAAGAATATGGTACAAGATCAGTCCGGTCATCAAGGATTGAAGTGAATTGCAAGCATGTCCGACAGGTATCTTTAGATTAGGGATTATCAATTAAAGTCAGAAGATTAAAAACAAACCAGCAAATGGCTCAACACAATCCAGAAACTTGAATTACATAAAATGGGGAACACGTGTACCAGCTACTTGGTAAAATATGGCTACATTGAAAAGAACGCACAAAGGCAGAAATGGATATCTGATGTCGGATAGTGGGGAAAGTGGTATGAACGCGTGTCTCCATATTAATGTGAATCGTGATTTTAGGACGTTGACAAATGGGCTGTTCCGTCATCAGACAATGCGTTTAAGTAGACACATCATTACTACATTATTAGATGTGCTGTGGCCTTGAGCACGACCAGCTCTGATTATCAATTAAAGTCAGAAGATTAAAAACAAACCAGCAAATGGCTCAACACAATCCAGAAACTTGAATTACATAAAATGGGGAACACGTGTACCAGCTACTTGGTAAAATATGGCTACATTGAAAAGAACGCACAAAGGCAGAAATGGATATCTGATGTCGGATAGTGGGGAAAGTGGTATGAACGCGTGTCTCCATATTAATGTGAATCGTGATTTTAGTACGTTGACAAATGGGCTGTTCGGTCATCAGACAATGCGTTTAAGTAGACACATTACTACATTAGATGTGCTGTGGC